CAGCCCAATGCGGAACCACTACACCATCAGGACTCCAGAAACCCATTTTGTACACCAGTTCCCAGCTCCTAGGCAGTGAGGCCATGCTGATGGCTTGATATCAGCCCCAGCAGGAGCCCTTACACCCTGAGCATCGACACATAGCGAGGACCCTAGGCCTTTCCTCCAAGCCGTTGATTGGCGTCAGCAGCTCGGCACCGTGTGGGTCTGCTATCAGTGTAGTGCATCTGGGCGTGTGTACCATTGTCCACCTCTTGTGTCGTGTAGGTCACGTGGCCGAGGCTTTCCGGAACACACAAAATGACCAAGATGGAAGTTGTCAGTGGTTGTGCACAAAGAAAGGGGATCTTGGATGGACAGACAGGCAGACCTGGGTTCAGATTCAGCCTCCGTCACTCACAGACTCTGTGACCCTGGGCAAACCTCTCCCCTTCTCTGGACCTCCATTTACACATTGGAGAAAGGAGAACTGATATGCCTTCCCCTAAGGTTGTTTTGAATGAGACCTGGTGGTGTAGTGGTTATGTATTGCAATCCACATGGTTGGCAGTTCAAAACCACCAGCAGCTAGCTGCTCAGGAGAAAGACTGAGCTTCCTATTCCCATGAACAGTTACAGTCTCGGAAACCCACAGGGGGTCGCTATGAGTCAGCAGGGAGTGAAGCTTGTTTTAGGAGCATAGTGGTTACATGTTGGACTGCTAACTGCAAGGTCAGCAGTTCAAAACCAAGAGCCAGCTCCACGGGAGACAGACAAGACTTCCTACTCCTGTAAACAGTTCAGTGTCGGAAACACATAGAGGCAGTTCTGTTCTGTCCCATAGGGTCGCTGTGAGTCGGCATCAACTCAATGCACAGTTTGATTTTTGGAAGGCTGCTTTAAATGCTAAATGAGATCTCAGATGCCAAGCGACTGGCGCGAAATGGACAGAAAGCAGTCGTCTTTGTTTACTAGAAGGTTGGTTTCCTGGGCCAGTTCCTCTGTAGTGCTGACTCCCATTTTCTGGAGTTCCTGTCTCCACAGTAAGTGTCCTGCAGGTGAGCACTTGGATGCTGGGAAGTCCTTTCATCTTGTTTGTCAGTAAGGTGTGCTCTTACAATGATGACACGCCCTTGGCCTCTCCCCAGCGTGTTTATGAAACTGATCACGGAGGCTTCTCTTACCGGGGATTGCTTTCAGTCATTCATCCACTCACTTAATAAGCATGTTTTGAGCATCTCTTATGTGCCGCTGTGCCAGATGCGGGTGATGTTAAGATGAAAACAGCACAGAGCGGCCTTACCACCTAGTAGAGCGATGCATAGCCGGGGGAGAAGACCAGCTGTTCAAATGCAGGGAGATGAGGAGGCGTTTGTTGTTCATCTGGGTGAGAACTGATGGTGGCTCTGACTGAGACCCTGGCAGCAGGAAAGGGGAGGAGGGCATCCTACTGTGGACTGGCTGATTGATTGGGGGGCGTGGGGAGAGCCTCCTTTCTCCGGCCCCATCCTTGTGGGTGGCAGTGGCACCAAGGCACAATGTCCACTCAACTAATCACAAACCCGAATGCGGGAAACTTCAGCTGGTGAACAGGAAATGCCATTCACCGTCATGCTGCAGTGTAAACACACCATCCTGGACAAAATACTAACGCAAACTCACTGTCACCGAGGCGATTCCGACTCCTAGCGACCCTGTAGGTCAGGGAGTAGAAAACCTCCTCTTTTCTCCCATGGATGGGCTGGTGGTTTCAAACTGCTGACTTTGTGGTTAGTAGACTCATAACCACTATGCTACCAGGGAGCCTATGGTGCTGGAAAAGCCAGGAGCCCTGGTGGTGTAGTGGTTAAAGAATTGGGCTTTGATCCACATGGTCAGCGGCTTGAAACTACCAATAGCTCCGCAGGAGAATGACTGAGCTTTCTACTCCCATAGACACTTACAGTCTCGGGAAACCCACAGAGTAAAGAGTAACAAGCAGAGATCTTTGGGGAGGAAGCCACTTCCGGAGAAGACAGAGAGGGAAGCAAGTAGCTGAATCCTGGGGGGATATTTAAATGGGAGAAGAGAATGTGGCCAATGAGCTTGCGGGAAAAGATGAAGGGGTCATCTTCTTTTATCTTGCCTGTTGCTGCTGGAGGGGGCCCCTTTGAGCGACCGTTTCAGATCCAGATGGGTCAGTTCAGTGAGAGGTCCCAGACAGTCATGCACTGATAATGCCCATTTGGGCAGCACCCGACCACACACACATCTGTGGTCCCATAAGGTTACAATACAGTTAAAAATCCCGTTGAACACAGCAGCGCACCGCCCCACCCCTTAGGCAGCATGCCTATGTCCGGCCTTTTGTATACAAAGTGATTACACTGCCAGGCATAGCGTGGTACAGGACGTGCTCTTGATGGTCATAAAAATTCCAGCTTCTGGCTGATGCATGCATTGTTCCTTTCTATCTGGAATGTTTACTGGATCACAGCGAATGCTTCTACATGTAAGTAGATCTCCTGTGTTGTGTGGATGGATCATGGTGCCCAGTGCTGGGATTGCAGCTGTAAGAGACCAAGAAGCATCAACTGGCAAGGGAAACAAACAAACCCAAACCCACCAAACTCGCTGCCATCTGGTCAGTGCCTACCTGTCCCTGTGAGATTCTGAGACTGTAGCTCTTCACGGGAAGAGAAAGCCTTGTCTTTCTCCCACGGAGCCGCCGGTGGTTTCGAACTGCTGACACCCCATGGTTAACCACTCCGGTGTCACTCGGGCTCCCAAGGAAACAAGAGGTGCTTAAAGAGCACGCTGGTGGGAAATCAGTGAATAGTATTGCCCAAGATTTAAGCACGTCCCAGTCGATGGTCACAACCCCATAAAAACCAAACCCACTGCCATCCAATCAGTTCTGACTCACAGTACCTCTACATCAAGTTTGGGAGGCTGTCACTGTTTATAGGAGCAAATTGCCTCCTCTTATGTCCCGAAGGATGGCTGGTGGGGTTTGAACTACTGACTTGGCAGTTAGCAATCCAGTGCTTTCCTGCCTGCGCCCTGGTAACCACAAATCAAACTCAACTGCTACCAAATTGATTCTGACTTATAGCAACCCTATAGGATAGGGTTGAACTGCCCTCTGTGGGTTTTTGAGACTGTAACTCTTCTACGGGAGTAGAAAACCTCATCTTTCTACAGAAAAGCGACCGGTGGTTTTAAACTGCTGACCTTGTGGTTAGCAGCCCAACACATAACCACTATGCCACCAGAGCCACAGGGAGCCTCAAAATCAAAGAAAATAAATTCTCCAGACTGTTCTAGGATGGACTCCGCTGCAAGCTGCAAGGGCAACAACACAGCCAGGGGAACCTGGACCAGATATGGAGGGATTGCGAAGGAGGCGTGTTAAGGAACCAAGACCAAAGCAAGGCCCGTCAGTACCCAGTGTTCCCTGCACAACCAAGTGCGAGAGCCTAGGAGTCAAGCAGGACCGGACAGCGACTCGGCGTGCCAATGTCCCAACCACGTCATGACCCATGTTACAGTATGTGTCCTGGACATTAGGCAGCCGTGTCCGAAGAAAAGGGTGCTTATACCCTCCGGGAGAAGACAATATTTGAATGTCAGGATATCCAACTCTCCTACACACTTCTTTTATGTTTTCAATTATTATTAAGTACTTTTATTGGGGGCTCTTATAGCTCTTATCACAATCCATACATTCTTCCATTGTGTCAAGCACATTTGCATGTATGCTACCATCATCATTTTCAAAGCATTTCCTTTCTACTTGAGTCCTTGATATCAGTTCCTCATTTCCCCCCTCCCTCTCCCACCCTCCTTCCCTTATGAACCCTTGATAAGTTACAGATTATTATTTTCATATCTTACATCGTCCTCTGTCACCCTTCACCCACTTTTCTGTTGTTCATCCCCCTGGGAGGGGGTTATATGTTGATCCTTGTGGTCGAGTCCCCCTTTCTCCCCCAACTTCCCCTAATCCTCCTGGCACTGCTGTTGTATTATCACTTAATCCAAGTTTCATTGAAATCCAGTTGGTGTGTTACATGATATTTCTTCTTTGGATTATTGGTTATTTAGTCAAATAGAGTGACTATAATCGCTGGAAGCTTAAAGCAAATGTCCACTTAAAAGTCCATACACACTTGCTAGATAAATGCTGCGACATCAAAAACAACAACAACAACAAAAAACAGCACTTTTTCATCTTTGGGAAATTGTTTCCTTTAGGATGTCTATAGAGGAATATTTTGTTCTTTTAATAGGTTTAGGACTGGCTGCTCCCCGCTCAATAATTTATTCTGCAAACTTTCAACTGTACAGGAGAATTAGAAATCATGATGCCCACGGCCCAGATTCTTCCAGTAACATTTTGCTCCATTGGCATCATCACACACCTCTCTGGCTTAGAAGCCTGGTGGTACAGTAGCCAAGCACTGGCAGCTCACAGAAAGGCTGGCAGTTCAAACCCACTAGCTGCTCCGCAGGAGAAAGATGTGCAGGCCACTTCCATAAAGACTAGTCTTGGAACCCCTCTGTGGCCGTTCTACTCTGCTCCCTCGATCACGATGAACTGACACCGAATGGCAGTGAGTTTGTAGTAAGTATCCATCTGTCTGTTCCTGACATTTTCTATCCATCTATCTTTTTGTTTGTTTATTTTTTGGATGCGTTTCAATTAAGTTGGCTGCCTCCTCTCCTAAACAGCCGTATCTTTTTTTTTAAAGTCATTTTTCTGGATGTTGTAATGGGAGTGTCAACACACTGTGTGCAGATATTTTCAGTCCATCCGTTTTCCTCTTTCTAGAAATCTGAGGTTGCTCATAATGCCTGCCAAACTTAGAATGTGAAAGAAAGAAAGGAAAAGTCTGGTCAAAGGTGTGAAGAAGGCCCTTGAACGCTCCTCTTTCTCACCTGCTTTATAATCGAGACACAGTTGTTTAACTCCCCCAAAATGATCTCTAGTTTTCCCGTTGGCTACACGCACGCCCTCACCCTGTGCGTGTTGTTTTCAGAGTGGAGCGATCTACAGACCAAGTCATCAAGCCAGTCAACGTGGGCGCCCTGTCCAAGTGGGTCGGGAAGATTCCTCCAGACGTCCTACAGGACATGCCAGTGATTGCGCCCATGCTTGCCAAACTGGGATACGACCCCTATGCCAACCCTCCCAACTATGGAAAACCTGATCCGAAAATCCTCGAGAACACTAGAAGGGTAAGTGTTTTTTGCTTTGTTTTATTTCAGATTGACCAAGGAAACCTGGACATGCCATTTGGGTCCTGAAAGCGTTTTTCTTTTCTTTTAAGATCATTTTGTTGGGGGCTCTTGCAGCTCTTAAAACAATCCGTACATCAGTTGTATCAAGCATATTTGTACGTATGTTGCCATCATGAAAAGGTTTTTCTTAGTTTGTATCTTGTTTGTTTATAATGAGAAAATAATTTTATAGTTGAGATGAACTCACTTTGTAGGGTGCTTCCTTAACAATGTCTTCTCGTGTATTTTTATTTAGCCATTTTGTTGACATAGATTCATAGATCCTATACATCAATGGTTCAAGTACATCAAAAGGAGCTGTGCAATCATGACCAGGATCAGTTTCAGGACATTGCCTTCATTCTTGCACCTGTTGTTATTAAAATCCCCTGTTCCCAAACCTTCCCTGGGGGAGCCCCAAAGAACCGTTGATCTAGTAGTTGTCTCTATAGGTTTACCTATCCTGGATTTCATACAGAGCAAATCAGACCAAAAGATCCAAGGATTTAGAATGGTAAAACCCAAGATCAGAGGAGGGGATGAGACTAGAGCTTACACTGTGAACACTCGGTTGGCAAAGGCTAAGGATGACAGATGGTGAAAGCCCCAACTCCACTTGTTCCGATGGATTATGCCTCAATCAGATTCTCTCAGGCCATTGACCAAGGATGTGACCCACACCCAGGGTGAATTGCTGCAGACACAGTTTAGTTTAAGCTTGTCACTGGTTTCCCCTTTTGATCCATTTTTAACTTGTCCTAGTTTTTACTACTTTCTGCTTTCTTTGGGAATGAGATTTTGCTGTGTTCCAATATATTTTAAGGGTAACCCTGGTGCCCCATTGCCCATTCCCTGGGGAAGGCACTCGCTGGGATGGGGGTGGGAGATTGGTTCTCAGAGCTGATTATAGCCCATGTGTATGGACACCAGCATTAGGAGTGATCCTGTTGACTTCTGCTTTTCCCTCTCTTTAAATCGAATGGCTTAGAGGAGCCTCACTTTCCTGAATAAGGAAAGCTGAACCCTGGCTACGTTAGACGCGTCAACAAACCTCATACAATCAACTAGCCCCTCGGACTGAGTGAAATGTGCTATTAAAGTGACGTTGGTTTTTCTCGTAGCAACTTATTCTCACATCTTTAAAAAGTTTCGTTGCAGAAAGCGGAAAATGCAAGGAATGGGGCTAAATGTATGTGGGGCTTCAAACGGAGGGTAGGAAAATGGAGTGGAAAAAGCTAAAGGAATGTTCCCATCAACTTCCTGACGCCCCCTCCCATTCTCTTTAACCCCACCTCCCTTATCCGGGGAACCTGCAGACACACCTCGTTTCACTGTGCTGCACTGCACCGTGCTTCACAGAGAGGGCACGTTGTTTACAAATGGAGGGCTCCTGGCAGCCCTACAGGAGCCCAGGTGGCACAGTGGTTACGTGTTGGACTGAAAACCTGAAGGTCAGCAGTTCAAAACCACCAGTCACTCTTTGGGGAAAAGACGAGGCCTTCTTCTCCAGGAAAGAGCTTCAGGCTCGCTTCTAAAAGGGACTCTGGCCTCTTCCCCTTCCCTCCATTTCTCCGCCTCCCGAGTGTAGTGATTTTCTGTCTTCACAATGGCTTCTCCGAGACTGTCAGGATCAAGAGATTCCCAGCCAAGCGACAAAAGCAGAATGGGCCCATTCCCCCAGGGACTCGAATGAAAGTTGGTGATGGGATCAGGTACAACTCCAAGAGAAGACATTGGGGAAGAGCCAACTGGGGTCTGAAGGAGCCCCCGAGGATGGCGCCACCCCACATTTACCCAGGCTCCCTGGCGGCGGTCTGTCATGCTGAGGTGAGGACTTTGCCACCATCGGATCAATTGAACTTGAATTGGCATGTATCGGGCTTCTTCCACTTCGACAGGCTAACAACAATAAATCATGTGAGGCAACAAAACAAAACATAACAGCCTCAGAAACCCACAGAGGCCATTGTTCTCCGCCCTGTAAGGTCACCTGCGTCAGAACTGACCCGATGGCAGTGAGTTTTTGACAACCCCGCATCCAGCCAGTGTGTGGGCCATTCTCCCGACAGCGTGCGTGCTCACCTATGTGATTCCCTGCCCCGTTTTGTTCCTTCTCATGAAAGTTCGGGGTTCTGCATAATGCTAGTGCACAGTCTGTAGATGCCGACGCAGGTGGTAAGTTTTCTAGGCACAGGGACATCCAGACATTTGCACGGCTGGCTCTGTCGGGACGCATCCTTGGCTGCGGTGGCCTGGCATGGCACCTGCGCTCTCCGAGGTCTGCCTGAACTTCACTCCTGCACTGCTCCGGAAAAGACCATCTGGATGAGGTGGCCGTGTGGCCGTGAGTTCACCGCTAGGTTATTGGATTTCTAGATTAGAAGTCCTTGGCCTTCTGAAGTGTTTCCCTAGGTCATTAATGTCATTGCCTTCTCTAGAAACTTAAATATCAAGTCTCCTTGGTCTCTGTGTTAGACAGGGTTCTCTAGAGAGATAAAACCAAATTGCTGATAACTTAATATATTTATTTATAAAGATAATTAGATATATAACAAGAAATGAACTGTTAAATCATATACAGATAAATATATAATACAAGAAATAAACAGTTGAATTATAAAGCACTAC